GACATTTTCACTAACAAAAGCTGACGTTTCGGCTGCTTCGCTTTCTTCAGAGCCTAAAGTGATCAAGTTGGTGGGAACCCAGTCAGCCAATAAGCCTGTATGTGGATAGAAGAATCACGGTCAATTTGTTGTAATCAAAACCGCTATTCCTCGCACTCAGTGCTTCCTCTGAGGTTTTCATTAAGCATTTCAGATCGAGAACTCTCAGAGAGTTCACACGGATTGCCAAAGCACTCTTTTCAAATAACAGCCTTATTTATCGTGTGGAATAACACGTGATAACAACTAAGTCCTTCCTGTGATTGATTTTTAGATTACTAGATTTGTGACCTTTGTTTCGAACAATATAAGTTTACTAAAACTGCTGTTCAGAAAGGATGAGCTCAGAGAATCTGGCAACACTGATTGGACTACGATCGGAAACTCTTTAGACGCCCATGTAGTTTATAGCCACCAGTATGCCTATCTATGCAGAACGCAGAACTACATATTTCGTCAATGCATAAGCTTTAGTACTAGAGCAATAAACATCAAATTTAACGGGAAGTAGTTGGAAGTGCATGATTTTGGTATCCTTTAATTGCGCATTTTTTGAACATTTTGGTACACAACTTGCCTATATTCGCTTTGAGTTAGAGCTATTTTGGAAACGAATTTGCTTGCTACTCATGCACGAATGGTGCGTAAGGAAGAATGCTAGTGAAGCGGCGCGCAAGATTACTGTAACTTGGAGCGATGATATCGTTGTAAAAGGACGGCTAGGAAGTGATCCGTGAAGTTTAAAGCTGAAAAGAACAGTCTGGAGAAGAAGTCGCACTCGGGCTTCTAGGAAGCTCCTGCAATCTTGCGCGCGCTCCACTAGCGTAGCAAGCGAACTTGTTTCCAAAACAGCTCCATCTGAAAACAAATATAGGCAATTGTGCACCAAAATGTCCGGAAGAAATCAAAATCGCATGATTGCAAATATTTTGCTTACTAATTGTAGGTATTTCTGTTCGTAAATTTGGTGTTTATTGCTGCAGTACTAAAACTTATGGAACGACCTAATTATATCCAGTAGCGGTATAAACGGTGATTTCATGAATTCCGGTACGGTATACCAAAGTTTTCGTATTCTATACGGGACGAATATAATGGCGAAGTGATTAGATCTGTTTGCGTCCGCATAAAAGTACAAGTCCGCTAACAAGTTGAAGCTAAGCCAAGTACCTCAATATGCATGCTTAGAACACAAAGACAAAACGGAAAAGATTTTCAGGTAGAATTCATCATCTCGCACCAAAATAAAACACGAGTGTGTAAAACTCTCAAAGTACTTCATTAAAATTTTATGAATTCAAAAATGAACAGCAAGGACGATTACTTCGCTATCATGAGTGATGTGACACGATGTACGAAACTGTTTTTTTTGATGTGAGAGGTGCACTACCAATCCATGTGAGGTTTGTGCGGTTGGTCTCCGCTTGAAATATTCAATGGAAGACTTAAGGAAAACAGCGGCCGTATTGAATAGCCGTTTTATACCTATTGCGATTGAACGTAATTTTTTTATGGATATCTACCAGACTAGGTTGCAATCAACTTGATCATCCCAAGCACTAAAGAAAGGGAAAGTGCCGAAACTTCAATTTCATGTGAAGAAATAGTGTACCGAAAAAGCTGAGAGTTTGTTCGACAAAAAAATCGGTAAACTACATTTGTAGTTCTTGCAAGCTGTCGTTGTTCGAAAGCAGCACTTTGTTATTTGTTTGAAGTACATTATTTTAAAGTGAAAATATTTACAATGAAAGGCAAAATGAAAAGCTACTTTTCAACTCCTAAAAGATGCTACATTTTAGATTACCTCGCCATACCACTTCAGAGTGGAAAGAGAAATACGGTGCAAAAATAATCCATGATTACAATTGATAGAAGGAAAAAGAAATTACCAACTGTCAGTTTTGAGAGAAAAGCGGCGAGTTATTCTTATGTAACTTGTGGTTTTCTCAGTAGTTTCCTAGAACTAACACATAAATTCCAAGACTATGGTGAATTCTACCTAGCTCGCTCTAAGTACTTCCTGAATTTCACTTAATTACCCACTATTGTGAGTATTATTACCAGTAATTGCCTAATACCATCTAATTGCATCGCACACAATCTCGTTTAGACGCACGATATTTTCTGTGGCTGAGCGTCGAGACGCTCATCCGATGTTATAGTCTCTTCAACTCGCGCTAACCGCGGTATGCTTTAACGAACTGAAAATGACATAATTGCGGACTCGCAGATTGGACCGCCTAGCCGAATTTGGTAACACCCCGTACGTTGTTGGAATCGTTGAGGGATGGGCATAAATTGGATTGGTAGAAGCATCAAACACTGATGCAGTTAAAGTTGAAGACAACTCTACTTTGACAAGGATCAGTGCTAAAACCGTTGAAGTTAGTTAATTGCTGGAAGAGGAGCCATGCATTCGGCTCCATTCGTAGCATTGTCGAGTCGACTTATTTCCTATGCGATTTATACAACAAACGGCAGCGGCGTACCGTTGTATCAGGCTAGTGCTGCTGTATTGCCAGACATGTTTCGTGAGAAGACCCGAAAAGATGAATGGTTTGAAGAGCTTGAATCGCAAGATCGAACATAGCACCGATCCATTGTATACTGCAGAGCATCTTTAGCCAATGCGACACGCGACGGACACCATAAAAACGTTAAATAAATACTAAGCAGGAATGAGGCGCGAGCTCAGTCCCGCCCGAGATTCAAAGTTATTCAACTGTTAGGTAAATACTAGACAGTTCGTTCAAGTGAGCTACATCAATCTACAGGAATTTCATAGATATACGCAATATTCCTTACCCGACCAAACCTTAATGGCTAGTGGCTACACAGTGGATGATAGCTATGACAGAAAGATATTGAAGAATGAGTGATAAGTAAGCGGTGGCCTCTGTGGTTCAGCAGTAACTCAAGTCCCCGGTATGTATGAAACGCAGGTTCAACTCCGTCTGAGGAGGAAATTTGCGCACCAAGCAATATCTCTTAGGAACATTAACACTGCGAAAAAGCAGTAAAACACAAAAGGAGTTGGAATTTCATAGAGTCTCAGAACTAGTAAATCGAAGAAGAAGATTTTAAGTACAGAAAACTTCCTAAGGCGATAACTTCATAGACGATAGAAAAGATGTGATAAGGAAGAAAGAAATTGTGCAGCGATTTTACTAGAAAGGTGTAGTATTAGGCCATGAAGGTATGATTGAATACGATTGTTTATCTGTCACATTACACTTCAGCTGCAAGACTTACATACTAATCACTTTATATAGGAATAGTAATTAAAAGAGCTTGTTATGGATAGCATAATCAACGAAAACAGCTCTCATCTACTAAGCAAAAATGCTAATTACGTCTGTGGAGATTGAGGGATTTCCGTACGTCGAGCGCTAAAAGTCGTCAATCGTCAAGCGACCACATGCCTCCACACATATACACACACACACACACTCGCATACTTTCGTTCATCTTTCTTAGGGATGTTCATTGAAGAAAAACCTAAGCTGATCTTCTAAGAGAAAGTCAAAAAAATCCTCTTTGAGTTGGCCAAAAAAAGTCATCAGTATATTGAGAATTAAGTAGTTTTTAATGCTTCAACATTTGGAAAGAAGTTCATAAGGCGCGATACGCAGTACACGCAAGTCTAACACCAGCGATTCATCTGCTAAGGTGATTCTGAAATGGAAAAAGTTTATTTTCCAAAAAAAGCGCTTGAATGACATCAAATAGATGAAAATTTTTGCGTATTCTGATATAGCAGAAGAATAGATTGAGTTGGGACTTTATTGCTACTACGGAAAAGACTTACTTTTGTGATTTTATTTTTAATATCACATGAAAAGCTTGAAAACTGCTCTATAAAGCCGCAAAAACTACGAGCAAGTGGAAAAATTAGGAAAATTTATATCATATGAGACAGACTTATAGCTACGGAAGATATGCGAGTCCAATCTTTTTCGTCTGTGACCAGCGTGATAGAAGACCTATGAACACTAATGAAGTACTATTTCATTGTAAGCTACATGATAGGAGTAAGAAGCGAAACCAAAAATAATTATAAAAGAGAAATGGGATTAGAAAAAGAGGAAGAGAAAAAGAAGAAGAAAAGGAAGAAAAGAGAGAGAGAGAGCAGAAAGAGAAAGGTAGAGAGGAAGAGGTAGTAAAGAAAGCAACAAAGAGAAAAGGAATCTAAGAAACAAATCATAACAGTAACGGTCATCTATTGGGTGTTAACTGACGACGAACTACGATGTGGGTGAGGAACTTTCATGAAATGTGTGGCATTTGGAATGACAGTAGTTGCTAGACAATAGAAGTTGCTTCAGCATAGCATACTGCGTTGCTGCCGCCGTCGTAAATCGATCATTTGAAAATCAGAACAGAGTTTTAGATCATTGGAACGACTTGTAACTCAAAATGAATGCACTGCTGCTACTGCCGTCAGTGTGTGGTGCCGAGCTCATTTGGCAGTAATAGCCAAGCAGGTTTTCACGGAGCCAAATGAATGCATCGAAAATGCATATATTAATATGACAGGTTGCCCCGTTAATTTACTTCACTAACCTCAATTGCTGCCGTGTAATTCGGTGATGAGCAGCGGCTATCCAACGCTAATGACGTCAACCATGATGTTTTTCGCTATAGTCCTTAATCTATGATAAAAACACAATCAATGGCAATCAACTCCCGATCTCGTCAATTTTGCAGGAAGTTCTTAAAGATTACTTAATTACTCGGGCAGTTCGCTGTCATGAGTCGTACAACTTCCAACATCATCCAAAACATTGCGTTACCTTGGATTGTAGCTAACAATGGTTGAATAAATCACTGATCGCTAGATGGTGGTTTACAGGCATAATCCTTTCTCATTGATCAATCAGAATTGATTTTCTTCGGACTCCACTTGCGGTCTTATGATGTTACAATATACCCAATAATGTAGAGTGGTGTGCAGAAACGTTTGCGTCAACTGGGATTTGAAGCCAGTTCTCACTGTCTCCGGCAGCGCGTGCTTAACCGTTGCACTACCGACACTCGTTTCACGCACTGCTATTTCTACGCTACAGTGGTTATATGTCAACAACCAACCGCCTACGGTGTGGCGTGGGCAGCCGCTATAGACATTGAATCCACCGAAACGAGTGAGATCTGGGTTCGAATCCTAACTGACGCAAACGTCTTTCTCATTAATCGTTAATGGGCACACTTTTTTAACGTCGGCCATAGAGACGACCTTCAGTCCTGTCGGGACCACGTTTGAAATAGCCGAGCGCAGTACGATTTGCAGCTGGCGCACGATTTCTGATTTGAATAGGGTTTTTTATCCGTTTCGGAAACAATTCTAAGTGTATTGTTATTCTTGGATATTTAAAATATTCTTTACACGATCGTATGGTTTTGGTGCAAGTATACCTCATATGTTTGAATAAAAAGTTCCCTTTCACTACACCGATGTATTAGGTCTCCTCATGAATTCGGCACTTGAGCACTAAATATCAAATATGTTAACCAAAAGTAATCAAAATCGCTTGACAACACTGTTCAAAATAGCGTCATCAGCCTGAACACACATTTCTGCTATCTCTCAGGCAACAAATCAATAGCGCGCACGTAGAATTTGTCATCCTTGGAATCAAAGAAGGTTGTCAATCCTCGACGCAAATTACTAAAATATTCCTGAGAGAATCAAGTAGCAAGCAAAAACTCGACCTCACACGGGAGTTGAACACACGTTTTATCCACACCGACCACGCGTGCTACCACTACACCACCGAGGCCACTGCTCAATCACCACTCATTCCTCAACATCTTTCTGTCATAGCTATCAGCAATCAACCATTAGCAGGTTTAGTTGGGTAAGCAATATCGCTCTGAAACACAGTAAAACTGACAGCCACTGTATGACACCCATTGATGAAACGTGGGTTCCAACTCCTGTCCGAGGTCAAATTTTCTGCTTACCACTCAATTCTTTTAGGAATACTTGAGACGTAAAAACACTGCGAAAAAGCAGTAAAAGCATAAGAAATCTCGGAATTATTAAAGTCTTAGAACTTCTTCTTGCTCAGGAAATGCTCTAGCAAAAGAAGAAGTGATAGTCAGACGGCGACAAGTCAGGACTGTACGGTGGATGATTTAGCAACCTGCAACCCAGTTAGGTCAGCTTCCTCTTCGTCAGTTTGGCGACATGCAACCTTGCACTGTCTCAAAGCAGGATGAGATTGCGGCGACGACGACATGGCAGGGCCCGATTTCAGCGATGCAGGTGCTCACGCTAGCGTTTGATGTTGATCGTCTGTATTGTTGGCAGCAAGCCCTAATGAATCGGCCCGGTGCGGTCCCAAAAATGATGATCACGGCCGACTCTTGATCGACTTCGCGTGGACGTCCGGAACGCAGCTGGTCCTTCGAGCTGGTGTTGCCGGAGCGAAACTCGGCAAAGGACCGAGACGCTGTTGTTCTGGGACACAGATCGTTGAGCCTTTGTACGGATGATATACTCGAAGGGGGTCTTTGCATCGCGTCTCATTTCATACTCGTAGAGCACTAGGTTGCGATAAAGACTTCGTTGGGCTGCTATGTTCTGCATGGATAAATCCTTCACTAAAATATGGCTCAAAAAATTCTGCATAAAGCGGTACTGATTTATCGCCTGAGAGATGGCAGAAATGTGTCCAGGCTCATGGCTCATACTTTGAATAGTGTCGTTAAACAATTTCAGTTATTTCAAATTGATAAATTTGGTGTTTATTGCTCTGGTGCCAAAACTTGTGAGAAGACATAATATTTCTGTTGGCATTCCATCAAATGTAATAAGTCCTACGAAGAATATTATGATAGCAATCTATTAGTTTTGATGCTTTTTATCATACGCAATGCTCAAAAGCTATCATAGTAACCGAACGTTCAAACTGTTGAGTCGTTGATTGATGTACTATACACATCAACGTAAATGGGCTACAAGGCCTATTGCGAATGCGTACTAAAAACACACCATATAAGCATCCCATAAAAGTTATACATCAAAGGCAAGGCATTTTTGAACTACACTTCTACATTATCGTAAAAAAAATAAGCAATAAGAAATGAGAATGCGCTAATTACTTATTTCTATTGCTTTCGTATTGAAAAACGAGAATTTTTGAACACGTGGACGTTCTTTTTACTGAAAAAGAAAATTATAGAAGACTTTCAGTGAACTTTTTTTATCATACATTGTCTCCACCGTACTGAACAGTACGAGTACAAGCACCAATATGCCCACTGCGAAGTTCAAACAAGGGGCTAACTACTCAAAGTGTGAAACGTGACTCTTTTACTTGCTACTGCGCACTGAGAAACTATTTCAAAAAATAGAACGCTTGTGAGATCTTCTTTTCAAGCTACCGATTGACTACTAAACTTTCATTGGAAAGCTAATCATGAACGATAGCGAGCACACAAAGCACTGCAAAGGTAAAACGTAATTCTTGTTAGTGATTACTACAGCGCAATAAAAGCCTTTCCAAAAGTCAGGTAACCATCCATAAGATTTCTTATGTTTTCACCCGCAGTGTCATGATGTTCCAAATATACATAAGAGAATTGAGAAGTGAGCATATGATCAACCTCAGACGAGAGTTGAACCCGCGTTTCACCCACACCGGGGCGGGGCGCGTGCCATCACTCATTCTTCAATGCTTCTATCATAGCTATCAGCCACCAACCGATAGCAGATTTGGTCGGGTAAACAATATCGTTTTGAAATCCCAACTAAACTGGTAACGAAACGGTGCCTCGGTGGCGTAGTGGTAGCACGCGCCTTCAGTATGGGTAAAACGAGGGTTCAACTCCCGTTTGTTGCCGAACTTTTGTTCGCCACTCAATTCATTTATGTATATTCTAAACATCGACAGTTGTCGTTATACAAGCTGTGACTTCTAAAGCTTCGGTGAAGAAACTTTACTTGGTAAAAAACCAAGCAAAAATGAGCCTAAAATACACATTTAAACTCTGGAGTTATTTGCTTCGCTACTACACTTCACTAAAGAAGCGGTTTCTAAAATAAAAGATAGCATTAGAACCGTATTTTTTCCAGTTATCAAACGAGTGTCGAAAGCCTTGTGAAAAAATCTGTGCTCGACGAGGAAACCACGAAAAGGCTCGTGTACCATTTTGATAGACGTGGTCCAGGTTAAGTTTTCACCTTTGAAACTAGTTAAAATCTTTTTTCTTTCTTTCTAATGTTCTTCTCACATTTATCGTCTATCTTTTTCATTGAAGGACCGCCCCGCCTATCATTTCCCTTCAAGGTATACTCTCCCAATATATAAAAGAAGAAAATTTCAGTAGATTCCAAATAAGCTTTCCGACTTGAAATCGTATGTGTCAGTTGTACTTCACAAAAAATAGGTTTATTAACACTATAACTGTTTCATAAGCCCACAGCGTGATTAACGCTTTAATCTAGGACCCAACTTTATATTGAAGAATCAGGCGACATAGTGAATCAAAAAGCAAACGCCAGGTGAAGCGTTCTTAAGATGATGGCAAGTTGCTTCTGTGAAATTCGCTTTGGGTATACCAATCCTTTTCTGCAAGATATCTATGTATTGCGACGTTTATTTACATTCAAAATTTTGAAATGTTAGCCGGTTAGCGCTAAATGGCAATATGTCCTCATACAAGGTTCCATCAATGAAACTCTAGGTTACGCTCACGTGACAAATATAAGTGTTGATGATATCATATCAATTCGGAGAATGAAGCTTGTAAAAGCAATATAGGTTTTCAATTAATGGAAAGATTTGCTGAAAAGGAGTGTTTTGTGTGCACTTTTCGTGACCAATTTATTCCCGAGAAGGCTGGAATTTTAAACTGACAAAAATTTCTCGATTGACAATTTTATAGAGGAAGCTTTGTAGCATTTATGGCTCAGATAGCCTTTGTGCAGTGCTTTTCTAAATCTGGATGTGCCTGGAACCCAAATTTTTCCTGCTCACGAAGTCTATGCTTTGAATTTTGAGCGAAGGAGCGGCAGCTGTCAAGTCGGTGGACTTGGGAGCACCAACGAAAGAGTTATGATGAAGAAATCCTGTTCGTTCATTTGCAGTGACTTCTAGATTATGAACCTCCAAACACCAAAGTGGAAAAGATATGTGCAGTGAGCTCCATAAAATCGGCACCTTATTGTGTCAAAACGATGGAATCTTAATGTAGAGGCGATCAATAGTCTTTGCTTCCTATGACTCTTCTAGAAGTCACGAAGTCACAGTGCAGAAAAAATCCAATTCGTACATTGCTCTATAGGTTTTTCTAAGGAAATACGTTTTCTTTTGATTTCTTCCACACCACTGTCCTCTTCTCAATTAGCTAAACTCTTTGAGATTTGTCTGTGGTACACTGGTACTCCTACTCGAAATCGACGACACCGTCGCCAGTGAAAAGTTTGATATGAATTCCCCGTAAATTGATTTGCTCTTTTTCACAATCCAGTGACTCGATGATCAACTGTATCGATGCTCAAGCTGAGAAGTTCCATCTTTTTGGACGCATGTTTCATTAGGCACGATTAAAGTAGAGACCGAGTAATAAACAGTATCTTAGCAGTGAGCTGCAGATCTTACGTTGGATGGGCATACATTATGATCAGTGCGTACTAATAGAATGCTACCATTATGGTCTTTCAATCGGCAGAAGTTAGAACAGCGGCTCAATTATATAATATACAGAAATCGCATTACTTCCAGCACACTATTTGCTCAGCCTATGTACTTCGTTCAAATCCTTGAAGTGCACAATAGAATAGTCTTCGTGATGGAGAGTATACGAACAAGTCAAGTAGAGGATAGCAACCACTGAAGCTGATTCTCATGAGACTACGCAAATTGTTACAGAAGAACTCAGCGTCAACTACTGAAATTCTCATCATTCAAGGCAGATTAGAAAGTTCATTGCGATTTCTCAAGGTCTTAGAGTGGGATCACTTTTGCATACTTTGCATACTATAACAGTTTACTAAATTATTAGATCCAAATCTAATAATTTAGTTAACT